AGAATGCAATGAATACCAATTGCAGCCTTTTCTAACTCAATATAAGAAAGAAAAAAGACCAAGGGACTACAACTACTTGGCTCTCCATCCGAGTCCATTCTAACTGTGAATATGTATGCCAAACGCTCATAGTCACATGCTAGTACTGGGTATCTTTTGGATAAACAGAAAGGACAAACGTTACGAGTTATGACTGTAACTGTCCACCAGTGTAACCAAATCATATACAGTCAGGGGTGCGACAAAAAAAAGGAGGCACAAACTGACAAGGAGCACTGGGACATTCAGCGACCTGACGTTCTTGTAATTTTGTGCCTTTTTTGTCGCACTTGCTGACTATAAACTCTAATTTCAGAAATTTTCGGTGCTCAATATTTTCGGTATGAGGGCAACAGGCCAGGTTAGGTGAACAGAAATTTTCGGTACAGAGAAGCAGTTCCCTATTGGATTATGTGTGTTAGTGTTTGTTCGGTGTATTGAAATTTTAGGTATGAAACAGACGCACCGAAAGTACCGAAAATAAAAGTACACCGAAAATTTGTGAAATTACAGTACATGATTGTATGATCAGGTCACGGTGGTGCATGTTGCCCAGGGAGTCGTAAAATACCGGTATTTTACGACTCCCTGATGTTGCCCTTTCTTTTTTTATACATGGTTACTTTGGCTCAACATCCGAGTTCAAATTTGATTACTTTTTATTCACATTAATTTTGGTTCTCATCAGCAGAACATGGTTGTTTCGACTTGTTGCGTACGGGGAGTCGTAGAATATTGACTCCCTGGTTTTGTAGAAGGGACAGGGCCTAGGGCATGTGTCTGACATCAACACGGCACAGAATCACTCGGCGTTGAGGTTCTGGATTTCGGAATATTCTTTCCAGCTGCTATGCATTCGACACTGGGGATATATGGGCGAAGTGGTGGCCCACCGGTGCGAATGTCTTTGCTTGATGTGTTTCTCAACCCATCAGGTGATGCTGTCGCCAATGCCGCTATTACTTTCCTCTTGATTTTTTAAACTACCGTAAAGGTCCATCAAGAAGTACGTACAAATGAGGTTCCGCTCTACGTTTCGGGAACGCGACGCAACGAATCACACGAACTCTCCTCGTGTTCCCGTAATGTAAAGAAATCCTGTTCTGCTCCACGCTTCACGTAGAGATGTCACGTGGAATGTGTACTGGGAATTTCCCCTTCCATATTTGGCAGTTTTCTGCATGCAGTTGATCGATACCCATGCAGCAGATCCGTACGCATTTTGTTTGCGTGTGCCACAACGCAGAGAGCGCTAGAGCCTCATCTACGCGTAGAAATCTGGACCCGAAACACGCGAAGCCGTAGACTCTAACCCAGACACCTGTTCTCTACGTGATTTCTCTACGTTTCACGTATAGCAGAACCTCTCTACTAATACTTTCGAATTTAGTGGTCACACCCGTACTAACTTTCGCGCGCGAACTAAATTTCGGACCTCGCTTGCGGGTAGTGGACAAGTTCTTTTTTCATGTACATGTACGTGGTACTAGTAAGCGAGGCATGTGTGAACCATACCGGTACTTATTTCAGGCAGTATGTTTATCGGGCTGAACTTGACTTCAACAGAAGAGTCAAAAAGATGAAGGGGGTATTTGTTCAAATTTTCACCATAAAACGGGCACTCGTTTGCTAACGGATCAGCAGCTAAACAGACGGGTATCCGGAGCACCCCTTTCACCCGTAGTTCCTGTCACTCGAGTTGACCCTTTGATCCGTTGAGTTGAACCTTGGTGTGAAAGTTGTAACCTGCAGCGCAGGTACGGTGACCAGGTGACAGGTGTACGCATGAGCATGTGAACGCTTACTCAACCGGGTTCGATTGTGAATATGGGCCGAACGCTGCATTGCAGCCTTTTCGGACCAAAACCAGTCGACTGAGCGTCCAAAATACTACAACATATGGGCCAATCCCAGTCATCCGTGCTTTTTTAAGAACAAAATGGCGCTTTTAGTGACATTTTGCCTACAAATCCCCATCTATATTTTTGTAGTAGGGCGCAGTCACTCAGTTTCTGTGGAAGTGCGCGAGTTCGATTGGGAATAAAGGAGGAAGGGAGCGTCTCAGCTTCCTCAGACCAAGACCATTCGACTCAGCACCCCGAAGACTACAACTGGTGAAATTTTGATTTCAGGGTATACATGTACGTCCCCTTTAATTACAGACTTTTACGGTAGGCTCGACCATTTGGTTGCCCATAGTAACATCGTAGAAACAGCTAACATTTTAAAGGGGAAGTTAAGGCAAAAATCAAAATTTCACCAGTTGTAGTCTTCGGGGTGCTGAGTCGAATAACTGGGTGACTGCGCCCTACTAGATGGGGATTTGTATGCAAAATGACACTAAAAGCGCCATTTCGTTCTTATAAAAGCACTGATGACCGCGATTGGCCCATATGTTGTACTCTTTTGGACGCTGAGTCGACTGGTTTTGGTCCGAAAAGGCTGCGATGCAGCGTTCCTCCTTTATTCCCAATCGAACATGGTTGAACAAGCGGTCAAGTGCTCCTGCGTACACTAGTCACCTCGTCACCGTGCCTGCAGGGTACAACTTACTAGCCTGTTTGACCTTTTTTGGGTGCTGTCCTGTCACTCGAGTTGAACTCAAGTTGAACCTTGGTGTGAAAGTTGTCGCCTGCTGGCGTGGTGACCAGGTGATTTGGGCACCCAGGAGCACGTGACCACTTGTTCAACCATGTTCGATTGGGAATAAAGGAGGAACACTGCATCGCAGCCTTTTCGGACCAAAACCAGTCGACTCAGCGTCCAAAAGAGTACAACATATGGGCCAATCGCGGTCATCCGTGCTTTTATAAGAACGAAATGGCGCTTTTAGTGACATTTTGCATACAAATCCCCATCTAGTAGGGCACAGTCACTCAGTTTCGGTGGAAGTGCGCGAGTTCGATTGGGATTCAAGTAGGAAGGGAGCGTCTCAGCTTTCTCGGACCAAGACCATTCGACTCAGCACCCCGAAGACTACAACTGGTGAAATTTTGATTTTTGCCTTAACTTCCCCTTTAATGCAGGTTGTGAGCAATTGAAAAGAACTTTTCGGCTGGCAAAACAGCTTGCATACTGAGGAAACATCATGTTCAGGTAAGAAGAGCGCAGCCTAATCCTGTCGGAGAGCAATACTTCGTTCTGAAGAACAGAAGGGGAGCATAGATCCAGATTCAAAAACATCTCCACGCTTGAAGTAGCATGTCCTCGCATGAGCTAGCATCTCCTCGTATGAGCCCCCCCTCTCCTGGGCCATGGTGTCTGCTACGGGGCTGCAACAACCCCTTCTGGACCTTGATGTGTGGCCTGGGGCTTTAACGCCTCTCTCTCTCTCTCTCTCTCTCTCTCTCTCTCTCTCTCATCTATCTATCTCTAATTATCTCTATCTATCTATCTCTATCTATCTGTCTGTCTGCCTTCCTGGCCATGTGTGGCCCAGGGCTGAAACGTCCCTTCTAGGCCTTCATATGTGTCCCAGGCTGAACCCCCCCCCCCCACCCGTGTCCTGGGCCATGATGTGTAGACCGGGGCTAGCACCCCCAACCCCCACCCCGTGACCTGGGCCATGATGTGTGGACCGGGGCTCAAGCACCCTCCCCCGTGTCCTGGGCCAATATGTGTGGACCGGGCCTCAAGCCTGTCGTGAGTCAGTCGAGGGCCCAGTCAATTAGTTGACGGGGAAAAGCACACGCCCTGGAACATTGCGGGCAACCAACCATTTTGAAATACATGCACTATTACTTCACAAAGAAGAAAGAAGTTTGGGGGAACGAAACAGGAAAGATAGAAAGATATTGAAACGATACACAACAAGAACATGAACTGAGAAAGGAAAGAAATAATCGACGGGTGAAAATATCAGCAATCACCATAACACGTAGTAGGTCGATGTACATGATTGTACAATTATTTTAGCTCCAGAATTTCAATCCGCATGTTCCGCTTGTCGGTGGAAATATGGAACAATTGCTTAGTGTACAGCCTTGGAGCATTAGATAGTTTGCGCCTGAAAAGTGCGATAGAGAACGAAGTGGGGAATATTACATTTCGATTCACGAATAAAAAATTGAATCTTCTGCGTACCGTGCCCGCTGCATGCTGAGGATGTGTGCAGGGTCGAGCAGGATAACCTACATTCTAGCCGCGTTCACTGCAGAACAGTAGCCGCAGAGCGGAGTGTGAAGTAAAGTGTAAAGCTAGAGTAATCCTTGCTTCAAACTACCTGCATGCTGCCAGGCGAAGAAGGCAAAAATACTGTGGGGTCAACGACGAAGTGTTGTTCTTGTGAAAAAAGTGCATGTCACGTGCAACTCTAAGAACAACTAAATAAAAAAAAAAATTCTAAGTAAATAAGTAATGTGGGATTAATGATATCAATGGGCAGTATGTCTATAGGAGGGATGGCTAGTAATTCATTTTTTACACCGATGGTATTCACCATTCAGGCAGCTGCACAGAGTGGAATTGCATGGAGGAAAAGGGCACAGCAGGACAAGATGATCCTTTCTCCCAATGGCCAACCACATGCAGAGTGCTGATGGGGGAGAGGAGGGGGGGGGGGGGAGGGAGTCCCTAATCAGACGCTGCAGCGGGTGGTAGATGTCAGTCTTTCGCCTTGTGTTTCCACTCGGTCTTGGTCGTGGCCGGCCGAGCTTGGTGGTGCGCGGTTCAGCTTTGGAACGGTCTCAGCTCTTGGTACAGATTCGGACGGGAGAATCTCTTGCCATGGCCGTAGACTGAATATACGCTTGCGTCTGCGTCGTGGTGAGGTACTGGTGAATCCCACGGGGAAGGGTACCTTTTCACAAGATTAAAGGAGTCTGACTTAGTGCGTGCGCTGACTCCGGGCACTCTGCCCTTACCCTTGACTACGATGCCAACTGTACCTAATATGGCTAGTACGATCACGACTGCAATTAGGATATAACTGGATTGCGTTGACAATAATTGTGCCGATCCAGCTAGAGTGGCAAAGCAACAACAAAACGCACAAGTGCATGACGTCCACACACACGTGCACACATACACACACGCACACACACACACACGCACACACACACACACACACACGCACACCAGACGGAGATGCAATCAGGTTCGGTCGGGGTAGAGGGTTGTGTGCGCTTGCCATGCTAGAGTTAGAGACTGCATCAGTTTGCTGTAGACCGGCGTCATTATTATAATCTGCATCTGCCGACATCCCTCAGCTCCGGCCCATCGCAAACATTTGCTGGTTTAACATGCATGGCAATTTTAAGTTGCCAGATGTACACGGATGCATGAAAAGTAGGAGAATGAGCAGAGCTTTTCCATGCTTACCATGCAAAGCTACTAGGGCTGAAACGATTATACCGAATAATCGAGTACTCGTTTGATAACTCTAACGATCGAGCAATCGTTTAGATTACCGATTACGATTATTTTGCGTTTTTTAAATTTGTGTCAAGAAAGTAGTGTAAACCCTCGTTTTGTGAAGTTTGAATCAGTTTCCGCTGGGAGTATGCAGTTGCCAGGGGTATGGTTCATGTTCTGAGGTTAAAATTGACTTCAAAACTGCCATGTTTCGGAGCTACCCTTTCACTAATGCAGATTTGTTGGTATTATGAAGGCATAGTTTGTGGAAACAGAGTAATGTTTGCACAGAATTATGACTCTATTTGGTAACGATTATAATCGATTACTCGATCGTTAAGCTAACGAGTAATCGATACTTGAAAATCCACGATCGTTTCAGCCCTAAAAGCTACTAAATAGTATGAAGAAGTGAGTACTGGCGAACACGTTACTTTTGGTGTAACTTTAATCTCGGTAGAGAAACCAGGCTCCTAAGTTAGATTACAAGTAAAGGACTGCAGAGTATGCACTGTATGTGAAGGGTAGGCTGGTCACCTAATTCTAAATTACACCTGAAACCTGGCAGGTCCCTGGCACCGAAATTTCACTCCACTTCTAATTTTTTTTAAATTACATGTTATAGACGTAACAGCACTGGTGAGCAGGTATGGAGCACAAGCACTACATACAAGTGAGCAGGTATGGAGCACACTGAGCACTACATACAAGTGAGCAGGTATGGAGCACAAGCACTACATACAAGTGAGCAGGTATGGAGCACAAGCACTACATACAAGTGAACAGGTATGGAGCACGCGCACGACATACAAGTAAAACACAGATCAAGCCGTCTAACGAAAACCGGCACTTGACCAAAATAGTGTGTACCATGGTTGACGAAGCCCTATATCACCCCAGGTATAAGAAGAAGAAGAAGAAGAAGAAGAAGAAGAGGATGAATACTTGTTTGTTACTCTGAGTTTCATTTACCAGGCGATCATCAGACAACGCTTGTGGTCTGGAGTTGGTGCCTGCTGCTCACCTGGTGCGTAAACCTCGGAGCGGTGCAATGAATTCCCCATCCTCTTCTTCTTGTACATGTATGTAGCTCTGCCCCTTGGGCATTGTGAGCGCTCTTTTGGGACAGCCCGGAGCCTTTCTGTTCTATCTATAAACTCACTTCCAGGCGCGTACATGTAGCTGGAAGGGTCTGGGAGGCGGTTTCCAGATGGGTCCTGGTGGATCAAGTGGGCAGAGCATCTTGTGGGGGAGGGCGGGGGCAGATCCCCCGTCAAAAGCATTCACACCTAAGAATTTGTACTGAAATACACAACATGAAAGAGAACTTTTACAATGACCGTAGTCAGGTACATGTAGTTGGCCAGCTAGTAGTGCGCACGAAGCGCTCGCAAACTAGCATAGCTTCACGCCTCACTCAAGTGCATGCGTGCAGCATGCACCGCACTGTCAGTAGTTTGTACCTCCCATGACTGCACATGTACGCACTCAGGATCAGGAGAGATTTGCTGTAGTTTTCGAAGGTTTCGGCGTCTGCGCTGCAACCGCGGAGGGGGTTTCCGGGCAACCTGGAAACACGGGCGGCTACACGGCTGACTTCACTGTGCATTTTACCCCTCCTATCTCTCTTATAACATGTCATGTACTCTGGCTTCCAGTAGGTTTGGGAATTGAAAAAAAAGAAAGAATGTTATGCCTGGTTTGGGCAGAACAAAGAGGATGTGCCATTTTTAGGAGAACTAAAAGGCAGGCATAGTGGGATGGTCTAAGACCATGATTGAGAAACAGAGGGTACCAGGTTCAAGTCCTGCTTGGAAGCGGAAGGAATTTTTCCAGCCGTGCTGCGACCCACAGTTAATTGGGAACTCGTGGCCTGGCACGAGGGTAACATGGATGCAGCTAATGGGATTTCGGTCTTTGACCACTTGGTGGTGGGTCTGATCTACTCACCTCCCACCGTTTAGGCGCTGCATCTGCGCCTTTGATCCTAGAGGGTGGTGGCGTTCCCACGGCGGATGCGGAAAACTCGGCTTTCAGCCGAGTCTCACGCGAACCGTGAAATTAATTTTTAAAAGGGGAAATTTTTTTAAGGGCGGGGATTTTTAGGGACACATGAGCACTTTTCCCATTTCTCATCCTCTTTTTTCGACAAGTATCTTTGCCTCCAATGACATCCCATGAGGAAGATAAACACCATTATTGTCTTGTATTAAAGCCTGTCTGAAGTAGTGGTTGCGACTTCGGCGATGATTTTGTAAGAAAGGTTTGCTCCCCACACCGGAGCTCGCGCTATTCCGCCGACTTTACTTGACACTTGACTGACTCACGACTGCCATCCAGAGCACACGAGAAGTCCAACGAACCTTCGACTCGGCAAACCTGCAAGAAAGCACCACTCCCTGCTCAATACACAGTGTTTCGGGGAATTCACCCCTCATCAGTTGAGCTTGAGTAGGCTGAGGAAGATTGTGCCTGAAGAGCACCACTTATATAGTGCTCTCCAGGCACAAACATCACCAGGGATACAAACTTACAGAGACGCTCCGCTTCCAGCGCGTCACCGTCCAGGAGCGACACTGACTCACGCTGCTGTCTGGTGTTCACGAGGTGTTTGTCGCGCTGGAAGCGGAGCGTCTCTGTAAGTTTGTATCCCTGGTGATGTTTGTGCCTGGAGAGCACTATATAAGTGGTGCTCTTCAGGCACAATCTTCCTCAGCCTACTCAAGCTCAACTGATGAGGGGTGAATTCCCCGAAACACTGTGTATTGAGCAGGGAGTGGTGCTTTCTTGCAGGTTTGCCGAGTCGAAGGTTCGTTGGACTTCTCGTGTGCTCTGGATGGCAGTCGTGAGTCAGTCAAGTTGTCGCGGATTCAATCATCCCACGAATATAAAATGATGTATTAGTATGGTTGTGCATGTCATGTCAATGCACTGCTGCCTCATGAATTTCTTCGTACTCATGATGCTACTCCTGCGCTTCATACTTTGATTTATACCTTCGTTTTTTGCTGTATTCAAATTAGTTTTGGTGTTCTTGTTTGTAAGAAAGTTCGTATTCCAACCAACTCACCCCTCTAGCTTTTGTAGCAATCAGACGTTTGGGGACAAGGCCTCAAACGTTTTGACATGGTGCTGTGACCAGGATAGTCACGATCACAACTTTCGTTCGACATCAGCTTGTTTCGGGATGGCCACCCAAGCAAGCTCCGATGTTGAGCAGTTGCTTCGCCGTAGAGCGAACTTGCGCAGACGTTTTGTCCGCGTACACACTCGCCTTGCGCGCGAGTTTAGCGCTGAGTCAAGTTCCAATACTCAGTATTTGGCAGCCGATTGGGGGGAGGCCCAGTCGCTTTCACTACAACTTGAGGAAGTTGTAGCGGCCCTTCGGACAGCATACGAAGAAATGGACTCTGCTGAAGACGAACTGGACGAGCTTGACAGCTGGGAGTCAGAATTTGACGACTTGTGTGGTATCTTGAGAAAGGTGAGGAGCTCCATCATGCGTACGGCTCCTGAGGCCATGGCGAACTTTCCTGACCCGGTTGAGGCTACCGTTTCACGTCTCTCTCGTTTGCCTGCCCATTCTTCTTCATTGCATTCAGTTTCTGCGGCAACCATTACTGACAGTCACACATGTACCGGAACATTAGCATCAGCACCAGCGTCACAATCACTTCGTAGCAGTGCACACACACGCACCCCTGCATCTCATCATTTGGATACATGTAGCGGGAGCTTGTCACCGTCACGCACCGACTGTCACACCATGCCACCAGTTCCTAACTTCTACACACCGCAGCTCCAGCCTGGGACTACCAGTACAGCTGCCTGCAGTGAGCTGCCCTTTGCTCTACACAGTGTGACAGCAGCTCCAGTGTCTACCCATAGTATTCTGTCAGCTCTGAAACCACCACAGCAAAGCTCTGTCCAGCAGAAGTCTAGTTCTGGTGCCAGCAAAGTAGAATTTACTCCTTTGCCATCCCACACTCCTATGTCAGCACATACTGTTATGTTGGATGACAGCAGTGATGATGATTCCTCTGATGAGCTAAGCATGGCTTCACTCAGCCTTAGTTCATTCTCGCCAGTCGCTAGTCCGATGCCACGTGCTGTTGATGCTGCAGCTCCGTCTAGTATTGCAACCATGACCACCATGGTCGCTGAAGCTGCCAGGCAAGCTGCTATTGCTGCGGTTCAAACCGTTCAGCCGACCACGATGGCTCAGTCACCCATGCAGCCAGGGTCAACTACGTATACCCAGGTGAACCTCCCGAAATTGTCTTTGCCTAGCTTCAGTGGCGACATTCTGGACTGGCCCGTCTTTTGGGATATGTATGTCGCATCTGTTGACTCGCAGCAGCTCCCGAACGTCACCAAATTCACATATCTCAAGTCATCATTAAAAGGGTCTGCTTGCCGTCTAATTGCTGGAATAGCTGTTACTGACCAGAACTATCCCGTGGCCCTGAAAACGCTTCAGGATGAGTTCGGCAGAGCTGACGTCATCATCACCAAGTTGTACCACAAGTTGCAACATATGCCGGCATCCACATCCAGTCATAGCGACATCAAGGCGAAGTGTGAGATGATTGAGAATGTGTGCCTCCAG